AGAGAAAGAGAGATGGAGAGAGAGAGGGAGAGAGAGAGAGAGAGAGAGAGATGGAGAGGGAGAGGGAGGGAGAGAGATGGAGAGAGAGAGGGAGAGAGAGAGAGACCATACACCGAAGAATCGTACTTCGGGCCTTCGGTCGAGGACGGTGCTGTAGAGATTGTCGACAACGGAGTAGACGCTCCTTCCAGGGCTACCCTAGGTCAAGGGCTCCAGGTTGGGTGCCTATTGTATCGATCACCACGTGCACCACCGGCTCCACACACTATATGATTAAACCGTGGGGCTCCTGCTTCATCATCATCTTGCTTTCGCTTCTTCCCAGCCTCCAAACTAACCTTCAAAGCCTTCATCCTGTTTTTGTGGGCACGGACTCCACCATCAGAGGGCTCGGGTGGGGGCTCATCGGCGTCATAGGCTGCTTTCTCTGCGGGCTCCGTGCGAGGCTCACGCACACGTTTGCGCTCGGGGGGTGCTGCTTTCTCTGCGGGCTCCTTGGGAGGCTCATGCACATGTTTGCACTCGGGGGGTGCTGCTTTCTCTGTGGGCTCTCTGGGAGGCTCACGCACACGTTTGCACTCGGGGGGTGCTGCTTTCTCGCTGGGCTCCCTGGGAGGCTCATGCACACGTTTGCGCTCTGGGGGTGCTGCTTTCTCGGTGGGCTCCCTGGGAAGCTCATGCACACGTTTATGCTTGGGGGCTGCAGCTTTCTCTGTGGGGCCCTTGTGGGGCTCACTCTCAACAGCTGAAGCTTTGGGCACGGGTGCCATGTCCGCTGGCACGATGGGGCCTGCACCAGCCTCTGCAAAGTCCCCCTTGACAGACCTTGGTGTGGGTGCCAGGCTCAGCAGGGGTTCTTTAGCCTCAGCATGCTTCCCGATTTCATCTTCGGGTCTAAGAACGATATCCATTGGAGGGTCTTCCTCCAATTCCTCCTCCTCCTCACCCTCATCACCATCTTCATGGTAATCAGTGCTGTCATCACAATCATCCCCATCATCTGTGGCAGGTGCTGGGACCGGAATCCCAGCGCTTGCCATGATATTGCGGATCACAGCAGACCGGGGTCGGTGGGGCCGCGAGATCGATCTCTTGAAGACCGAAACCAGCCTTTTCAAAGACCAGGCAAGAGAAGATGCCTGTGCACCTAGGTGGGTCGAACGGCACCGTGTTTTGCAAAACCCCACTGCTTGACACAATGTCGTTAACTGAAACCCAGGCACATGAAAGAGAAGCTTTCATCAGCTTGTAGAGGGAATAGACATGCTCTTCCAGAACATCAACCCCAACTCTTGCTCCCAACTCCTGGATGATGGGTGTCAGGACTTCTTCGTTGAGGTCGATGCAAGCACGATCAATCCGGCCACTGGGCGGCAACTTCACCTTGGATCGTGGGAGCTTGAATTAGTGGAGGTGACCACTAAAGCATACATTATACATGATGTTCACCAAGCTACCATGACGTAAACAGCTGCACGACGTCGCACTGTTGGATTTGCTTCCCAAAGCTGGGAGAGCTGCGAAGCCCCATCTTTCATCGGAGTATCTTCCATGGCTTCTGAGTCACTTAGAAGCTCTTGGAATGTAATACCGGAATGTTCCATGCAGTCTCATGTGCTCCACTGGACCAGCTTGATAACATATATTTGCGAAACCCATGCAACCATCAAGTGCAGTGCAACAACCACACCCGATGCGCAAGCAGGGGCTGGCCCCGGCCTCACCAGCTGTAGTTCTCTTCATGCAGAAACCTGGCACAAGGAAGTGATCGTCGGATCTTAAGTGAGTTCTGTGCCAACTGACCAGCCAAGGCTTTCTACAACGATCGACGTCATGCTGCGAATGCTCATGATGCTCTTACTTGCGTTCGCGCCTGCAGGGCTGTGGCAACGCGTAAGGCGTAAGGCAAAGGATCGCCATTGCCAACCGCAGGCATGCAAGTGATAACTCTATGGAAATGTGTGCACACATCAAGGGACAAGCTAGATTGCATCTGTGGGAGCACTGGGCTTTCAGCCAGCTAGTGTCTAAAGGTTGTTGGGTACTTATAGTGCTGCCTGGGATTCAATAGGACAGCAGGTTATAGGTCAGTCCACCCCATATGCATATATATATATATATATATTTATTTATTTATTTATTCATCATGTATATATTAATTAACCCTTCAAATCCCATATTGTACTATTGACCCATCGTATAAATCGATCTATCTCTTGAACCTGGGATGTTTTGGGTACGATCGCCGGCCGAATGCCTGAAGCACGTCACTCCCGGCGAGTCTGGTTGCAAGGTGTATAGCTTTAATGCATCAGAACGAAAAGTGCTCAATTTATGGAGAAACGCTCGTTTACAGAAGAAGCGCACGATTTGATCAACTCAAGGCCTGCAACACCGAAAAACAAACAAACGCTCAACGAGCAAAAGAGCAGAAATAAACGCTACGAAGGAAGCATCAGGTATATAGGGACTACATTAAGGCCAAAGTATATACTATTTGGGTACATGGACCCTTCGGGTAGCTGCAACGTTTAGTCAAGGCATGGTTCACTTTCTCGAACGGCCCTGGGCCTGCGGAATTTCTGCAGGCGGATACGCCCCCTGGCATCAGAGGGTGTCAGGCTACAGTTCTACGGGGTTCACGGAAGAGAAGCCTGGAGATGCTTGAGGCCTGTGAGAGATGTGTAGTTAAACGCATAGAGATTAGAACTAGGATGGCATATAATGCACAGGAGCCTGGGCTGGAGTAGCATCCCAGATGGCTCCCAAGCATACAAAGAATATCCGCGCACCCCTGAGGCAGAGGCACGATGATAAGAGAGGATGGCCCTGGTTACCCTGGTACTAGTGATGGCGAGGAGAAATACACCTCATTCTTCACTAAAAGTTGTGAAAGACGTTACAGGTGCTTTGAATCTCCACCCCAGATGCTGAGACAATGGAAGGGTGCATACAATCCAAAAGCAGTCTATGCAGCAAACTAGTTTGAGTCCACTGAATCGGTAAGTAATCTACCGCACAATGCAAGCAGGGACAAACAAGTCAATCAGCACGCATCGTCTGCAAGGCAAACATCGTAACTGCCTATTGCAGCTTCAATTCTCTGGCTGCGCCACCGAAGCGCACGGGAGACTGATCGGGCTCCAATCGCTGATGCCGACTTCATTGACCGTCGCAACCTCAACATCGCTCAAGAATAGTAGGGTGTCCACGTCGGTCTGTGTGACAGTCATCACTTAAATTTTCAAGCTGAGCATAAGACTGACCTTCAAGTGAGACACACGACCCTCGCCTGAACAATCACAGCTAGGTCCCCGTCACAATTGCAGTGGCACACGTACGTGGCTGTAGGTTGGTGCAACATGGTGAAAAGTGTGAAACACTGGTATACAAACTTGAATGCAACTCAGTCCACTATATTATGAATACAGGGTATGTACATAGAAGTTGTATGGGGCATTAGACATAGCAGCCATTGTGATGCTCACATGCGTCAATAGCAACACAGTGGCACACCCATCATGGTTCAATAACGACAGCAACAACCGGGAGACGTTCATCGTGCAGCTATAGGCTGTGATGACTATGACTCCTACCGGTAGCAGCATCAATATCTCGTTGCGCCAACAACACAGCTACATGCCGTGGTCCTCCAGACAAACGGGTCAGCGCCGGAATAACGATCACAATGATCTGCATCCAAGCTCCGGACCCTGGCGTAGTAGAAAGTTCCAGGCTGCATGCCAATGAGCGTGTACCTGTGGAGATTGGGCTAGGCCTTCCCTTGCCGAGACTCGGCTTCCTCAGCACTCGCCCTTAGAATCTTAAAACGGAAGGGTTCGAGGCCCTTGTAGGGGGGAAGCCTCCGGAAACCCCCAAAAACCGAAGACGGAACTTAGCAAGAGACACGCACAAAACACCCAAGCCTGGGCCCAAGAAGCGCGACAAAAGCCGTGCCCTCTCCATGAACCCCAAACTGGCCCTAAACTCCCTAATGTAGGGGCCTTAATAATTAGAACAGGGTTTTGGGGCCCATCGCACTATAAATATAATGAGGAACCCCCAAACTAGTACAGGTAATTATTTAGGCCCCTATATTATGGAGCCCGTTGCGGCACTTGTTCGGCGGGGGCGGCGGAGGAAGATCCTCCTTCTGCTGCTTGTCCTGCGGTTTCCGAGTTTAGGGTTTTGTTTGGGTCTACTTGGAGGTTCATGGGTAGTTATAAGTGGGGTTACAAGTAGGGTAACTATAATTATGACCCATATTAGGGCAGGTTTTTTTGTTTGGGTCCAGGATTCCGGCCTATCCCTAAACCCTAAACCCTTTTCCCTAAACCCTGAAACCCTAAAACCCTAAAACCCTAGAACCCCTAAACCCTAAACCCTAAACCCTAAAGCCCTCTATACCCTAAAGCCCTCTATACCCTAAACCCTAAAGCCCTCTATACCCTAAGCTCTCAAGCCCTCTATACCCTAAGCTCTCTAGTATCCGGCCAAGGCCTGGGACCTCTGACCTGCAGGGACCCCAAAGCCCTCAGCCGTAACTTTTTGAACTTCTGCAGACGAAGGAGACTTTTTTGACACTCACACTCGGTTTAGGGTTTAGGGTGGCAAGGTCCACCACGATACTGTCTTCAAGAAGAATTAGGTGCCCGGGATCTCAAAAGTGCCGCAGGGACTGCAGCCGAACCACAGCCCCTGGGCCAAGGCTCACGAAAGTCCTCAGTCTGGCTCAAGGGGCCCCTTTGAGACTGAAAAGCGGAGATCTTGCCGCCTCTTTCCGAAACCCGAGATTCTAAACCTTTTTTCCTAAAGCCTAAACCCTCTAGACCCTGAGACCCTGAAACCCTCAACCCTAAACCCTAGACCCATAAATCCCTAAACTTGCCACCTCTATGATTTTAATGCTCAGGACCCAGAGAACCCAATTCCCCTTTAATAAGGAATAGACCTTAAATTAAAGGGGCCTTAATATGATGATTTATAAGGTACATTCCTCAATTAAGGGGTAGTGGGCTCTCTGGGGAGGGCGAACCATGGGCTGCTCCTTCAGCTGCTGGATGAGACCTTTGAATCCTGGCCATGGCCGTTCGGATCTCGCGGCTTCTAGGATTCCAGGGCTTAGGTGTTTAGGGTTTAAGGGGCTGTGAGACTCTGTATAGTGTTTAGGGGTTTAGGGTTTAGGGGATTATAGTGTTTAGGGGTTTAGGGTTTAGGGGATTATAGTGTTTAGGGGTTTAGGGTTTAGGGGATTGTAGGGTTTATCTAGGGCCTCCAGGGTGCTACGAGGGCGGGAAGGCTCGATTTAGGCCTTTGGGTGCCGTTCGGCTTGGGTTCGATGGCTTTGCTTGTTGCCGTATGTGCTGCTGAGATTGGAATGATCCAGACGACCCTGGCTGGATAGTAAAAAACGCCACATGAAAAGGCACGAGACCCATCAATGTGTACATGTATATATATATATATATATATGTATATATGCCTACATATGTATGTCCCGAGTAAACCCTGTAAACCCTCGAAGCCGCGTTTTAGAGTCTCATCTAAACACCATACTGCAACATAAAATTACATGACAGAAGGACCCATAATTTTGGAGCCTGGTATGAGAAGTACAGCCCAGCCTAGCCACCCAAGACCCAAACTGGACGACCAAAGCCTCATCAAAGACAAAGCCTGTCATGCCTACGGCGCCACTACAGTTTGAAGTCTGATGGTATTAGGGGCTCTAAGGGAAGACCATTTTCAATTTCAATCAATGATTCCACCCCATATAAGATACGCAACGCCTCTCTTGATCTCCGGCATTTGGACCCGTCGGGAAGGAACCACCGTGACCGTAAGGCCCCAAAGACCCCGAAATCCTAACCTCCAAACCCGAAGCACCCAACCCAACGACCCCCAAGACACCGAAATCCTATAAACCTGCCAAAAGGTTTCTGGTGCCTGGCTCGACGAAGACTCCACGACGAGCCTGGCGGAAACTGTATGTCTTCTTTCGCAGCTTCGGCTCTTGGGGCTGACTTGTACGAGGATTTTGGGGGCCTTAAAGGTTTCAGCACTCACAACTGGGACTTTCCGAGCCATGGTTTCAGGCTTTAGGCTTCAGGGGTTGAGGTGCGAGGCTACAAGTCCATGCTAGACTCAACCCTTTTGAACCCAGACTCTGCCAATCAGACTCAACCCTAAACCCTAAACCCTAAACCGATCTGGTCCGGTGCCTGGCGTTCCAGAGATCATCGTTTTCCAGCAGGTTGGGGAAAGACATGGGGGTCTACTCGTCCATCCCCAAAATCGGCACCAGGACATACCGAGCGAAAATGGGCACCTTAATAATTATGAAGATTAACAGACTGTTTTACTATAGGAGGATGTCACCAGTGAGTGACCTGGGATTACAAGCAGTCTACAGAAGAGTCTTGTCCATGCGCTTCCCGACCCCGTCTGCAGACTCTGCCAGCAAGCCCCTGAGCAGCCTAACAGCTTCCCAACAAATGCTCCATACGATAATTAATAGAAGCTGGCGTGTGAGCGAAAGTCAACTCAGCTAGAA